TCTTATCACCGGTAGAATGTGATGTCCGAAACAGATTGTTGTTTTGTGTGTTTGAAATTATTCTGAATATACTTTTCTTACTCAATTTTTGCTAGGCTTTTTCACAAAAGCTTTCAATTATTTAATCTATAAAGATTTTAACACTTGACGTAAATATTGTAAATATTGTACCAAAATTTATCGTATAATACATGCGGTTATATAAATATAGTACTAATGAGGGTAATTAATCAATTTAGTTTTAGTTTACATAAACCCTTCCATTGTATATGTTACGGGAAAATAAGGTTCTAGATTCTTTCTTTAAAGCAGCATACCTCCGGAATAATGCTAATTGTCAATGACAATTTTGAAAATGTATTTAAAAGTCAAATAGTTTACACATTGTTTAAAAAAAATTACACATTGTGAATGCACTTACAAACCATGTAAATAACCAAAAAAGAATTTAAAAAATGCAAACATATCTCTTACTACGCAAGTCACGCAAAAGTATGGTAAAATATGGTAATAGATACTGCAAAATCAGTCAGTTATCGCACATAAAATATTAATTATTACTCTTCAAAGTTCTATATATTTTCTCAAGTTTGATGTTCATGAAATATGTTGGATAATCTGGAGGCGTGCAGATTAAATAGCTTTAGTCACTATAAAATAAATGAAAACACTCCGATGATTATAAATTGTTTAAAATATGACATTTTTATCTTCATTTTAATGGTGATGAGGATGTTACTTAAGTACGTTCTTCCTTCAAACTATTATAATTGTTGCTTTTTATCTAGAAATACATGTATATGATATTTTCATAAATAAAAGTCATGCTACATGTAAATAATTTCATCATGTTAAGTCAGTTTAAGATGGGAGCCGGACACAGCTTTCCCTCGTTACATTGTTTGATAAGTGTCGAAAACTGAAACATATGATACATTCAGTGATAATTAAAATGTATTAATTGTAACCGGAGATATTTTCAATTATACTTTCCTGTTGATCAGCAAATACTTTGCCGCTGCATTTTGAAATACCTCTTAGTTTATGTTATGTACAATCATTTAAACATGAGTAATGTCCTTGTATATGGGAAGTTTAGTACTACAGTGAACTTCATTTAAAGCGACACAAGTTTAGATAATTTCCGGGACTTGTTTAGTAAAATGAGCTGAATGTAATTTTGCTGTGATTTTAAGTACAAGTATATAATTGGCTTGACATTGATATGAATTTCTTAAAAAATATCTTCAGCATGATTTGTTGTCACGAAGATGACAGGAATTTAATATTTATCCCATTTTATTTTGTAGTTACTTCGTTTACTCGATGAAAAAGATTCATGATAAAACCATCACGACGCATGCTATTACTTGTGTGTTTGTTTAATTGGGTTTTAAACACCAAAACAGTATAGATCATATGCTTTCTTTCGAGTAAATTTCATCAAAAAGGTGAATGGTATGATTGATTGAATAAATATAGCTACTATATATGTATATATTTTATTTTTATATAACATCGTGTCATTTAATGAAATAACGTTATTATAAGATATTGATCAGAACATTAATTTGAGTCGAGTAACCAATTTTACTGAAAATAAAATATAAAAAATATGTATATAATTATGTAAAATATCTGATATTCACCTTTTAGAATGCTTGAATATTCTTGTTTTGTCTTCTCAACATGATATACCTTAAAGCTTATTCTTTTATTTTCTAGATATCATCGATTAATATTTCAATCTATTGTATAATAATTATGAAAACTTATATTTGAGACACGCGATTGATTATAACATCAAGGTCTAGAAAGTGTTTCCTGTTTTTAAATAGGGTTATTGAAATATCTTGATGTTGATCTAGTATTTAGCGAAGGTTTCTATCTCACGAGACACAAACGTTGTACAATCCGTTATAGTTTATTCCAAGAGAGCCAAATACAAGCAATTCAAATTCTAAATTTTGCCATAACGTAATGGTTTTACCTCAGGAACGTTTTTACGTAATGGTATTGCGTTAGCGCGTTAAAGCAGCGCGCTTCCAAATTCATACTTTTCATAAAAAATGAGAAAAAGCATAGAACATTGTGAAATGAACGAAGATAATAATTTCAACATTTCAAACAGCACTAACAACCCATGTAAATCAACAAAAAGAGCTCAAAATATGCAAAAATAGCCCTTACTGCGTTACTTACGCAGTGGAAATACGGTTCAAAATACTGCAAAATTGGTCATTAATCGCATATAACATCGAAATTTTTACTTTAATCTTGAATCGTTTTACTTTTCTTAAAATCCCAGTATTTTTTTATTTAATTTAATTTTCTGAAATATTTCTGTTCATCTGGAGGCGTGCAGCTTTTACAGCCAATTTTGCCACAGAAATGCTTTTATTTTTATTTCTCAAAAACTATTCAACCTTTAACCATAAAAGCATGTTGTGAAAAAATGGCAGATTTCATTGAAAAGCCTCCTGTTAGAAGTTCAAATTGCTATAAAACTATGAAAAATGCTTCAATACTGATGAAACTTGGCATAAATGTTGACTGAACCATAGCCTCTATAACAGCATGCTCAATCTTAAATTTCATGTTACCATGGCAACAGGGAGATGTCTCAAAATTGCGAAAAATCACTATTTGCATTTTTTTGAAATCAAAAATGGTTTCAAAGTGGGTTCGCAATGCAGGCTTTTCATCGTTGGTTACACGTTACCTTAAGATCGACCTGAGGCCATTTTTAGCCTGTCACATATCCAAAATTTTCTTGGCGATGAAGAGACTGCCGCCCCCCTACAAACCCCCCATACAGAAAGGGACACATCTCCCATTCTGGCAACCCCCTGATGTATCATTTTCATGGGGAGGGGGGCGCCGAAAAATTGATCACTTTTTAAACAACATTCCGCAAACGAAAAACAGTGTTTTGGGCCTAAATTGGGCATTTTTTTCACTATTTGAGGCCTCGAAGGGGGGAGGGCGACAAAAAGCCGTCAAAACACGTTTATATTAGGGAAAAGGTTAAGTTTGGTGTATTCTTATAGTATCCAAACAGTTACTCATTGGCTTTTACCAAAACCCCTTTTTTCATCTGCTGCTATTTGGCAATAAGTATAGTAATAGTGAATAAGTATTTTGTATGGAAGTCAAAATACTACATTGATTACATTTTGCTACTTTTATAATAAATTATATCACATGTATCTATAGTTTTTCAGGTAACAAGTTTTTAACAGTTCTCTAAAACCAATATTTAAACATTATATACTTTATGTTTGCCGTCACTAAAAAAAGTAAACATTTGTTTTTGTTTTTGAGGCATAATGGGCCTTTAAAATTAATTTAATGCTTTTTATACAATTAACTCGAGATGATTTTTTTATGCATAAATGAAACGGTGACATAAATGTTAATATAGTGTACTTCTCTAATCATCTGCGTGGCTCTTTTTACAAATTTTTTGCTCTTTAACGGACAAAATGTCCTATGGATTAAATGAAAATGCTTATAAAATTGTTAACAATTATAAATAGAGGATATTGCATAGTAAATGATAGAAGGATCAATGTTGAACTTATTGAACGAGTTGAATAAAAATCATATTATGCGAGCTTCTGGCAAACAAAATATTATTGAATAAAATTAAGTAATGAACTATATACCACATTCTATGAATAAAGACTGTTTGAAGTGCAAAATAATCATTTTTTTAAGTTCAAAAGTCTTATTTTTTTATTAGCGCTCCAAAAGTGAAACGCTTACATTTACGTAATAGAAAGAGCATCAAAACATGTAACTATACGGTGGCACAAAGGTGACATGTGTGTGTTTTTATTTATCTCGTGGCCACGAGATACTATGTCGTGGCCATGAGTTACTAAGTCGTGGCCACGAGATACTATGTCGTGGCCACGGGTTACTAAGTAAACAACGGCTTAGCTATCTCGTGGCCACGACTTAGCTATCTCGTGGCAACGACTTAGTAGCTCGTGGCCACGACATAGTATCTTATGGCCACGAGATAAAAGTAAGTTTCTAAGTTTAAAAAATTCATGTATTGATATATATAGTGTATGTTTATTATCTCGTGGCCACGACTTAGCTATCTCGTAGCCACGACTTAGTAACTCGTGGCCACGACATAGAATCTCGTGGCCACGACTTAGCCATCTCGTGGCAACGACTTAGTAACTCGTGGCCACGACATAGTATCTCGTGGCCACGAGAGAAATAAAAACATACACATGTCACCTTTGTGCCACCGTATATCTAATTGATGTGTACGATTAATCAGATTTTCGAATGTTTTTATGTTCTTTCTCTTTTGTATCATAGTCAAACATAAAAACACGTTCCCTGTTGCCCCAGAAAAAAGCAACCAATGCTCTGGAGTGCGGGTAACTAAAACCTGCACTCCAGTTAACGCACTATGCATGTAAATGTATACGATTTAACACATTTTCAAAACAAAGGTCCCTACGCCCACTCGTCAGATAGCCTCGTGTTCCGATGCTCTTTCTGTTACTTTTATAATGCAAACGACCTCACGTCAAAATATATGCACGGCCTTGCAATAGCATTTTTAAGGAGTCGAAAAAGCGGCATGGGTATGTGATCAATTTTATTTATTTTATTTTCAATTTAGGACTAGATTAATTCTTTGACAAAGGAACGCATCTGACAAAACTTATTAATTCAAATGTGATCTTGAGCTTTGAATGACTTTGACGGTTAAATTCAAATATGAAATTTAAATAATTGTATTCGCTTGTTTTTGTTTAGAGTAGTCTATACTAAAATAATTTTACTCCGATGTCTTTTACATTTTAAGAAAAAAGGCGAGTGTTGCCCCCCGATTTGCTGTGGCTCTTGTTTGTAATCTATTTCATTCGTTAAAAATGCAGATCTAATGATAGTAAATTATGTCCTGCGCGAAATTAACCAATCCGCTTTGACTTACATATTCTATTAAAGCGTCCTCACTGAAAAGTGGTTGAAATCACATAAACAGTGTTTACTTATGGCAGTTATTTCTTATACAAACGGAGAGTTTATACGCACTAACATTGCATACTTGTTCTAGCTATTATATTCTACTTGGCATTATATAAATGAATTGTGTTTCAATATGTGAAATTATTCATGCACTCAACAAAGGAACAATTTATGCGTAAACAGAAAATGTATCGTGCAGAATGACGATAGAGGTAAGTTTTGTACAATTACCATAAACTTAGTCACTAGGTTAACTTGATATGTCGTTTATTTAATATCCATATTATCTTTATGCAATGTAACACCGCACCCAAAAGTGCGGTAAACTTCAAAGCACACTTTTGGGTCAAATGCATTTGTGGTCAAATCGAGAAATTGACCCCAAAGTGCGTAAATACGCTACATATCAATGCAGTTTGGGTTCCAGATTTCTGAAATTATCATCTAAGTTCTGCTTTAATACCGAGTACTGACTTATTCCGATCTGCGACATTGAAGCTCAAGATGACTGTCGATACCAATATACGAGTACATCACTGTGCAAATTTAATAAGAGTCATTTACATTCCGATATAGCATTAATTAAAAACCGATGGTTACTTTTCCTAGTTGGTAAATGTTTTATTAATTTAATCACTTGAAAGAGCAATATACATGTAAACACCCTCAATTAAGACCACTATCGGGACTGGACCAAAGTGGTCGTAATTGCGGGGTGGTCTTAATTGTGGGTATTCTTATCATTGATTACAACGTATATGGCCATGGTCTTTTTAAGTCATTTTGTATGAACAAACAATATGTATCATAACCTACAAATACAATATATGTTATAATATTTAATCAGATGAGAGCAAAACATTTTTCTGAAGAAATGTAATATTTAATTCTCTTGGGTCTGATTTCAATATTAATTATTATATAATGTACATATTTCACCTGTCAAATAAGAAATTATTTCTTCGCAAAATAAATGTGCTGAAAGCAACAATGAACCACAGTAACTCTAAATTTTTATTTCAGACCCTATTTCATACCTAACCTGACAATAACAGTTTTTGATAGATGTTGAATTTTAAATCAGTTGTGTCAATGGTGTGTTCAAATAAAGAATAAATCAAAGAATTGGGACTAAATCTGGTGGTCTTTAGCTTAAAAGTGGATAATCGTGATGGGTCTTAATTCTGGCTCATGCAACTATTGACATAAAGAACAAACTATTCCGTCCGCTTAAAAGATGGTCTTAATAGCGGGATGGTCTTAAATCTGGATTAGTCTTAAATAGGGATTCTACTGTATATATATTTTAAGCCATGATTTTGTTGAGTATGATGTACGATTCTTTCAATATGGCATCTATCTTGGAATCCATCTTAAATTTTTCATTTTTCCCTAGTTGTGGCAGATTGACACAGCCTGAATTATTTTTGTGTCATTGAAATAACTATTATTAATTATTTAAGAAACACCTTCCTTTAATAATATAACAGAAAATAGGGTAAATTTAAATTTTAATGGACTCATAGTTATATAAGGAACTGGTTTTTAATTAGATGAAAATGTGTGACAATTATCGGCACACAACGCTAATTCATGGATAAGGCTTAAACAATATGCAATCTAATGTATTATTGTACATAATACACACCAAGAATATCTATACCTTAAGGTCAATATCCTATGAGATATAATAATTGAAAATAAAACATAATTATTATAAATTGCAACCTTTTAATATAACAAATTTAAATAATCTATCTCTGCTTTTGCGAACCGACCTAATACTTTTCGCCTACTTCCTTCCTTATTTTTAGTTTACAAATGACATAATCTACAATTATATATTTTAATTCAGTTTTATTCATATTGATCTAATTTTTAAATACCCAAAATGCGTTTGTTGGCTTGATGTTAAAAAATGCATATGTACCTGTGTAACGCAGTCTGGGGTCGAACGTTGACACTAAAGATAGTTGAAACTAACAAGATGATTAGGTGGTGCGCACGAGATACTTTGTCCTGGTCACGAGTTATTAAGTCGTGCGCACGGGATACTATGCCATTGCCACAAGTTACTTAGTCGTGGGAACGAAAAAATAAGGTGGTGCGCATTACATACTATGTCGTGCACACGAGTTACTAAGTTGTGCACACGAGATAATTATGTGGTGCGCACCATGTACTTTGCGGCCACGGGCTTCTTAGTCGTGGGCACGAGTTACTTTGTGGTGCGAACAATTTAGTTAAGTCACGCGTACAAGATGATTAACAAACCAGATAACAATCTATATACATGTATATTAACTTTCTGGTTTAAGTTGTAAATGCAACACAAATCTTTATAACTACTTAAAAATCACTATCCAAGGCCAATAAATTATACTTTAATTTTGACTATGTTAACTCCCTTTGTGTGACAATCCTCTGATAGGGATGATCAGTATGTATGCATTGTAGGAGCACATTTGTCTCGGAGCACATTTGTCTCACGAAGTGTGACCGATGTGTTTGTAAACATTCATATTTGCGGCAAATTGGAAATGAGACAGATGTGTTCGACACACAATAGAAAGGACACTCGAAGCACATTTGTACAAGGTAATAATTATGCCCGTCCGTTTACCGGCAACCAACCATTGTTCAGTGTTTTCTGTATTTATAAAACCGTTTTTAGGTCAGTCAAAAACTTCCTGCCTCTGCATAGGAGTCATATATTAAATTAAAGAATATCCCTGTTCTGCATGTCACAATGAAAATTTCTCCAGAACCTAAACACATATGCAGCAAGTCTATTGTTATCGTTATCAATTGTGATACGTTTATTTTCAATGCTTAAAGTTTTAAAAATGATTTATGGCACTAGAAATATTCTTAGCAAAAACAAGGTAGTATCTACGGTGGCATAAAGGGGACATACAATTTTCTTATTTAGTACGTGCGCACACGATAGCTTTTACGTGGCCACGCGATACTATTACGTGCGCACGCGATAGCTATGACGTGCGCATGCGGATATGTATTCCGCATTTGGACACTGACCGGGATCCTCGCAAAGTTCGATGAATAGTTCGATGCCCCGTGTATATGTCGAACCTACAGCGGTAAGGGACAGGTGTTTTTTTTTCATCAATCTGTCACGGGGGCCCTTAAATGATCTATGGAAGAAAAAAAGAAGACCATTACATACGTATTTTGTTTTCATCAGAAATATATGTATGTAAAAATCGTCATTTTCCAAGAATTGCGGCTTTCAGATCCGCCATTGAAAAAGCACTTACAACATGTATGAGTTCCTAAAATAATCCGGGTAATGCCATAATTATAGAATATCGGACGACTCAGAATCGTGCGAGACGCGACATTCCGATGAGACACGAAGCGAGGCACGATATTGTAACACGAGATCTCGCAATGTCGAATTATCCCGTACCACGAGATTTCAGAAATGAATACATTTTTACTTCTTTAAATAGAGCAAGTATGAAATTATTAATATTCAAATAATGATTTCTGAGGAAGTTAGATGCTTGTAATCTAAAGACATTCGCGATAAATGTGAAATAATGCGTCATAAAAAATGTAGTATTTTGACTTCAATACAAAATTCTAAATCACTTCAACTGTACAAACTGCAAAAAAGCAGCAGATGAAAAATGCTTTAGGTAATTAGCCAATGAGTAACTTTTTGGAGCTATAAAAGTATACCAAAACTACAAAGCTTTAAAGGAATACAAATAAAAACATTTATCAGGCATAATGGGCCTTTAAGTGATTTTATGAAGACTATAAAGGGAATACTACTTAGCAATCAATTTTTTGTCTCACGAACTAGATGCGAAGCGAGATGCGAGATTTCGGCAAGATGCGAAACGAGTCACGATATTGTATCATTCAATATCAACCGATTACGGTGTTCCGTTTGGACATAAGTCACATTTTGACTCCCTGAACAGCTATGCGCAATGGTACAAAGGTGAAATTGAGATGGTACGATGATTAAAACACGATGAAACGATGGTGAAATCACGATGATGCGATGACACGATAGAGAAAATAATATCGCGTTTTCATCATCATGCCATCGCAGTTTCATCATATTGTACCATTGTATTTTCGCCATCGTAACATCGTCTTTCACCATAGTATCATCACGTTTTCATAATCGAACCTTCGTTGTTTCACCATCGTACAATCGTTGTGTCACCATCGTACAGTCGTTGTTTCACGTTCGTACCATTATGTTTTCACCATCGCACCATCGCGTTTTCATCAACGTAACATCGTGCCACCGCGCTGTCACCATTGTACCATCGTGAACGGGATTTAGTTTGTTTCAGTGTACGCCTTCAGGTTAAGCCAATCAATTACTTGAATTAGAAATATTATGATTAATAGTTCACTTTAGGTTTTCATAAAGAAAGCATAAGCAAACCTATTGATGATTACACTTGACATGAGGTAAAACGGCGAACCTCGATTCTAAAAAAGAATTTCTGCCGTGGGAATAATGTGACAAATAATTCATAAAAAATGACATGAGACAAATGTGCTTTCTTGTCCCTTAAAAACACATGAGACAAATGTGCTTTCTTGTCCCTTAAAAAACTTGATCGGAGCACATTTGTCACACAAATGAGTTTTTTGGGGTAGACATTTGAGGTCCCATTTGTCTCATGTGGGACAAATACGACCGTATTGGTCTTACGTAAGACAAATGTGCTCCGAGACAAATGTGCTCCTACAATGCATACTATTGGCCTGTTAACCTAGCTCATACGATACTTGAAAAGGAATACGCCATTGTTTATTATATTAGTAGGGATATTGTCCATGGCCAGTAGATGACCTACATTGATGATTGAGTTCATAGGTCAAAGGTCAAGGTAACTATAACACTTCATGTAAAATTCTTGTCTGATGAATAACTTGGTATATAATCCATGGGTTTTATAACCTTGTATGTACATTGCAACTGATCAATAGATGACACCTCATGATATTTAGAGTATTGTGTAAAATAATCAGTGTCACAATGACACTAACTGTAAAATTATTGTCCAATCAATAACTTGTATATATGACACTGTGACAGAAAAGTGAAGTAGGGGCAGCATAGTATTATTGCACATTTGTAGGCAACTAAAAAAATGCAAAGATGTAGTGTAATCTGTTTGATTAATTATCTCGTTTCTACATAGTGCCTCGTGCACACGACTTAATTATCTCGTGCGCACCTTTTAGTGACTCTTGGCCATGACATAGTATCTCGTTCGCACCACTAAATTATCTCGTGCGCAAGACTTAGTAAATCGTGGCCACGACATAGTATCTTGTTCGCATGACTTAGTAGTAATTCGTGGCCATGACATAGTATCTAATGCGCACTACTTAATTACCTCGTTCCCATGACTTATTTACTCGTGGCCACGATATAGTATTTCGTGCGCACTTCCTAATTATTTCATGCACACGACAAATTAACTCGTGGCCATGACAAAGTATCTCCTGCGCACGAGATAAATAAAAATGCACAAATGTCAACTCTTTTTTACCGTAAAAGTCAGATGAAAAGTACGTTGTGTATAACTGAACGTTCTTCTTAGGAATTGGACCAAAAGCTTTTCATTGCAATCTTATCATGTGACGTATTAGTTACAATAACATACATCAGATATTTTGATTTTTCATTTAAGTCAAGACTATATTCTATTATGTTGCTGAAACATCCTCTCTTACATCCCGTGTAAGACATTTTGTGTGCCCGAACTGTCCTTATTCTACAGCGGATTTTATGAATTAATTGCGTTTTAGAATGATGTCATTGTTCCGTTATAGATAACGTTGTAAGTTCATACGCTTTTATAAGAAAAGGTACTAACAAAAATATGAAATTTTCATAATTTATTTTCGGAAAATAGAAAACAATAAATATGCAAGAAAAAGAACCAAGCACCGGGTATCGTCAAAGATCTTTGATGTTTAGAGGAAAGTTTTGCACAGCCTTTTTACCGCTGTAAACAGCTACCCACGAGCTAGATATTAAGGTCCGTACCGACAGACATTGTAAAATCCTTTTAACATGATAAACTGTTTGTACAAATAAACCAGACGACTGAAGCTAAATTATAGTATTAGAAAAGTAGATCAATTGATAATCATTTTAATCATCAAAAACCAAGGGTCATACATTAAACTCAATATCCGAGGTCAATTTCAAGACTTAAGATCAAACACGCACAGGGCGTAGAGAATAAAAGCTTTTAGTTATTATACAAAACGTCTACCTAAATAAATTTACACGGAACAATAACCATTCTAGTCCATTTGAAGCAATTTAGATAACTTTTGCTGAGTACCAAAAGTAAGTTTTACGAGTAGTTATTATTACATTTCGTTATCTCGATAATTTTAGTATAACGAGAGTCGACAGTACATTATATATAACTAAACTCTAGTTTTGAGAAAAGGATGTTCAAATGTGCCATCAGATGTTTATCTATGTAAAAAATGGTGTTCAATCATGATGACAATCATTTTATTAATTGCATTTGTAGAAGTCCACTACATTACAAAAGCTCTGAACTGTAAAGTTTTAAGCCATGTAGTTTTACATAATACTTTCAAATGTGTCAGTCTATATCTATATGAAAACTAGGTAATGCTACACATGAAATATCTAAGTTTTGTATTTTTTTGTGGAGGACATTCATTAACATAAAATTATTTTTGCTTGCCATGTTACGGTGCATGGCTAGTTTTCCACCGAGCTTTGCTATCTACCTTGTCTTTATAAAATCATCCCTCCTTAACCGTATGTTAGATTGTGACCAAACTTCACATAAATGAATATTTACTAAGACCTTCAAAATATATGCCAAAGTAGCTGAAAGTCCTTTAAAATGACGTGTTTTACTAAGAAACTACATGACCGAATAGATATTATTATGGTCCTGTGCTAAATGTATATAAAATATGCCACTGAAGTTAAAAAGTGAGTCCATACTTTAATATAAACGTCTAATCTTATCTGGAAGTACAATGCCTTGAACTTAGATAACAATTTTTTCATGTTGCATTTTCTACCGGATCCCTACAAGTATTGTTACAGATCTTGCAGCTGGGAGTAAAATCACATAATATTTGACCTTACAACTTATATATACATTACATTGTACACGGATGTAAATTATCACGTCACTTATCATTGTGTGTTTGTGTGATTTTTATTTTAGTAAAGATCATGATATATTGGATTTTTTTTATTGTTACATCCCTCTTTACATCCGGCTTGTTATTATTTTAGAGCGTTAAGGTTGGGCCTGAAATATAGAAGTGTTTCACTATACGTTCCAATAAAAGAAAGACTGCAAACATTTTTTATAAATTATGAAGGAAATAAATTCATGCAATTTGCCGAATTGTGCACAAATATACTGTAAGCAACTTAACTAAAAAATAGGAATGAGCGCATTTGGCTGCTAAACATTATATCTTAAGTTAGACTATAAATGTTTACGGGACAAGATCGTACTTTAGAAAATGTACGCTAGCTTGACGAACAGGCACAAACAGGTTACATGCACGCCGGGAAGAGTTTTCTGGATTCCTGTCTCATTACGGTTCCCATTCAAACTGACATTCGGAAAACATTTCTCTTTACCGTAATTATTAATATCAAGTTTGGCGAAAATACAACCAAAATGGGACTTCAAACTCATTGTTTGTTGTTTTTTTTTTTTGTATTTTTTTTTCACCGTAAAATAACTAAAAATTGAATTATTTATGTGGAACAATTTACAATAAATTCAAGCAAAACAATAAATTTTAACGCAACTAATAAGACAAATAGAATAAATAGTGAGAGTGAATATTTTGGCCGGAAGTTTGCAGATGTGTAGTAAAAATTGTGCAACCAATGTTGTATATATAAAACATTCCCTTTGAGGCTTTGCCTTATTTATGTTATTTTATATTTTCCTTTGACATTTGTCTAATGTAAGCAAAATGTGTAAGCATTGTTAAAAGATAATGTCACATACATTGTACTGTAAAACTTTAAATAATTCTTATTCAAATTTGGGTCGCACTCGAAAACCACTTATCAAACCCTCAAGGGTCGGAACATCTAGGCTATTATTCATAATAACCTCTGAATTAATACGGAATGAATGCAATTCTACTACGTTCTTTTAGATGTAAACAAAAACAGATAGTGTAATAATTGTTTATATATTTGACGTCAAAACAAATGAATTTAATTCTTTGTAATGATCTGATGAAATATATAAAGTTGTTTACATGATTATAATATGATATTTACATTATTATTATGTGCATGTAAAATTTGTTGTATGTAACGATGAACTGTAAATGTTCAAATAAAATTTCTGTTCTGTTCTGTTCTGTCAAAAGGAAAATTAAGTCTATTTTCGTACAACTATGAATGAAAATATGTCTGACAATCATAATCAATTTGAAAATGCCTACTATTGTACGAGCATAACCAAATCAGAATTAATGTCAACAGGTAAACATTTTGTACTTTCTACAATCATAACGATAAGTATATCAACAATGTTCTGTTTACTGTTATATTAGTTCTTGAATTGACATAATGTTGTTGGATTTTTATCCGATGTATTAAAATAGAGAAGCAACTATTTTAGGAGATTCCCATTATGTCATATATCAAAATGTCCTTCAAATTGGTATCCTCAGATATTCAGTTCTCGATATAATGGAATTCCCGATAGAATAAATAATCGCGTGTTTTTTTTCACGAGTTTGACGTCATTTGACAAGGAAACCTCCAAGTCAACACTGTGTATTCAGCTGCTTCAATAAAAACTGTTTTCACGGTAAAAATGTTCAGGATAAAGGTAAACTTACTCTTTTATTTACAAATCATCAATTTTATACAGTTTTCACTAATGCTTTTTTTTCTGTTTTATACAATCCTCCATTTTAATTTATCTGCAAGCCTCTGACAGCAGCCGATGGATGACGCAAGCAAATCAACATTAGTTCTAAAAATAGCCCAAGTGATACGTCACTAGCACCTGTCAAAAAAATAAAATACGGAAGCAAATCAGGGCCATAGATCTTATTAATTGCAATAGTTAAATACAGACTGGACATAATCTGTATTGAATCTAAGTTGATGTTAAGACCATCTAATAAAGGAAATGAACACATTTTTGTTATTTATTCATGTTTAATATATGTGGTATTAAAATAAGCCAAAATATGCATTAAATATGCATTAAAAGATTGTTTATTCTGGTTCATTTCAGCTTACTCAACCTGCAGATAGGTCAAGACTACGGCTATGGTCACCAACTGCTATGACATCAGCTTATAAAATGGTGAAAGATGAAGGAATTCCAGTATATAGAGCTGCAAAGCTAAATGGAGTTCCTCTTACTACTTTGAGAGACCGGGTTGATAATAGAATATCAATTGATTGTGTCAAATCAGGACCCTGCCCTGTGCTTTCTTTAGATGAAGAAGCTAAATTGTGTGAACACTTAAAAGATCTTGCTTCTGTTGGATATGGTTACACGAGGGCTGAAGTAGTCAATTTAGCCTCTGATTATGCTGTTTCTTTAGGCAAGAGGAAAGATGATCAGCCATTCACTCTTAATTGGTTTTTATAACTTCATAAAAAGGTGGCCAGAACTTAATGTTGTCCGTCCTTCAAGTCTGTCTGAACAACGTGCTAAATGTGCCAGTGAAGAATCTGTCACTAAATACTTTAATGAACTTGAAAGAATTTTACGTAAATATGATTTATTTGACAAACCGCACCTTATCTATAACATTGATGAAAAGGGAATAAATACTGAATATAAACCCCCTAGTGTTGTTAGTGGAAAAGATTGTAAGGCACAAGTTATCATGTCTGAGCGTGGTAAAACTGTCACTATAATAGGGGCTGGCAATGCAGCTGGAAATGCAAATCCCTCCATATTTTGTTTTCCCTGGTGTCCGAATGTTAGATGGTCTCTTGGAAGGAAAAAGTCCAGGTGCTGATGGTATCATGACACCAAGTGGTTGGTCAAATAGTGTTGTTTTTAAAGATTATTTGCAAAATCATTTTATGAAGTTTTGCCAGGGAAGATCAGATGACACAATTCTTATACTGTATGATGGTCATCGTAGTCACATATCAGTAGATCTTGTTGAATGGGCTAAACAGCAAAAATATTGTTCTGTTTGTCTTGCCACCACAAACCTCTCATATCCTCCAGCCTATGGACATTGGATGTTTTGGTCCCTGCAACTGAAATATGCTCAAGAATGTTCTAAATTTGCTAGAACACATCACAGAGTTGTCACTCGTTATGATGTCTGCTCACTTGCTTGCAAGGCGTACTCATTTGCTCTAAGTCCTTTAAATTTACAAGCTTCTTTCAATAAGGCAGGCATTTATCCATTCAAGAACTCGTCCTCTATGGTTGAACTTTTAAAAAGTAAAATCAAACCATCTGAACTTTACATAGTTGATGATGAAGTGACAGCATCAGGAGATCACAAAAAATCTGAAACAGCAGAAAATAACTTTTTTGATAAGAAAGGTGGTGATGTACATATAAAAATCATGAAGAAAAAACGTAAAAGCATTAATAGTATTGTTGGTGGAAAAGCATTGGAAGGTGAAACTGTAGAAAAAATGAAAAAATACATTGATGAAAGTAACAGTAAAATTAGTTCAAATGATCCTAAAAAGAAAAAAACTAAAACTCCTAAGAACAAAAAGAATTCAGCCACCAGCTTCAATCTTCAAATAAATGATAAACAAAAGCCAGGTCCATCCAAACAAAAACATTGAACTTTCTGAAAAATCAGACCTCTCTGATAGTGAAAATGAATCAGAAATACCTGATGAAGATAAGTGTTGCCAATGTCATCAATATTATGTAGACAAGCATTCCCATGGTGCAATAGAATTCACCCACTGGGCACAGTGTGATAATGCTACTTGTTCCCATTGGGTTCACCTTAAATACTGCTCTCCAGTCCGTGTTGTGAGAAAGAATACAGTGTTCTACTGCAACTGTTGTCTATAGCATGTCAACACTGGGCCACCATACTTAATACAGCCTCGTTTTGAGATTTATCTCGAGTTATCGAGAATTCAAGACGCCATTTTGGAAATCCTTTTTTGACACTTGTTATATTTTTTGAAAATATTTTTTATTTGTTATTTCATTGATTGTTAACAATTAAAAAACTTAAAGAGAATATATTTATGGATTCAAGGATGTATTTAGAATAAAGGTGAGTCTTTTTTCCATTTGTTGTTTTTGCATTTTATTGTTACATTATCGAGAACCGAATATTTCAGGATACTATAATCATATTTTGGTTCATATATACCCAACGACAAAAGTAAGTAGTAGTTCTTGTTAAGTAAATGAAAGAAATGTGTTTACAAACCTAAAATTAATTATCTGATTCCCAGATTATATAACTGTGTTCTAAACTGGCGGAACTATGTATTATTAAACAACACGCCGTTCGGGACCTGATAAGAGTATGCAACTCGGACTGGTAACTGACACATGTTTTCCGTAGGCATGGCCGACATGCACGAGCATTCATTCCATATTTTTATAAGCGAATTAGGAATGAAATTTTAGCCAAAAATCGTTTTTTTTTTCTCCAATTTTGTATACATACTAATAATAAGAATACCGAAAACTGGTGAAATATACAAAACATTATAGCTCATAGTGAGAATCAGCAACTGATATAAAACAGATTATTTTATTTTGAAACAAGGGCAACATCGTCGCAATATACGCCCGTCACAGAAGCTTTTGGCAGATATGTGGGCATAATAGATATCCATATTGAAGATATACTCTTGGCAATATCTGGAAAATATATATATACATTAACATCTTTAGTGATTTTTTATCTGAACTTTGACCCCTATGTATGACCTTTACCTTAGCCGCAATGGCCTAAATGTTGTGTGCGACACTCCACCTCACAATAGCGAACATTTTTGCCAAGTTATATTAAAATCCCTCATGCACCGGATAAGGTCTCTCATAGTGGTGAACATTTGTATGAAGTTTCTTTAGAATCTCTCTGTAAGTGTAGGAGATATGCTTTGGGCAAAATCTTTATATATTAACTTTAGTGACCTTGACAATCATCTTTAGTGATCTTGACCTTGCATATATAAACCTTAATTTCATGTTTTACACCATTAGTCATGATAATGACCATTTGTGTTTCAATCCATCAATAAATAATGACTAAAAAGTCTCAATACACATTTTTATACTTTTAGCCGAACTTTGACCCCATATGTGTGATTTTGACCTTAGCTGCAGGGACCCTAATTTTACGCGCGACACTGGGCATCACAATAGTGACCATTTATGCGAAGTTATACGGAAATCCATATATGCATGAAGAAGTTTTGCTCCGGACAAGCATTTTTCTATAATCAAGAAATCTGACCTTGACTTTTGACCTAGAGGCCTGGTTAATGTACGCAACACGGCTTCTCATAGTGGAAAACATTTGTATGAAGTTTCATTAGAATCCCTTTATATGTGTAGGAGAAATGTTTTGGACAGTATCTAATTATTTTATCATCTTAAGTGACTTTGGCAATCGTCTTAAGTGACCTTGACCTTGCATATATTAATCTAATTTACATGTTTCACACTTTACAACAGCAGTCGTCATAATGATCTTTTGTGTTTCAATCTCTCAATAAATGATGACTAAATTTCCCAACACACATTTACATATATTTATTTGAACTTTGACCTCTTTGTGTGACCTTGACCTTGGCCACAGGGACCTAAATTTTGCACGCGACACAATGCCTCACAAAAGAAAATATTTGTGCAAAGTTATATTGAAATCCCTTTATGCATGTATAAGTTTTGCTCCAGACAAACGTTTTTCATTGACCTCTAATTGTCACCTTGACAACTGACCTAGAGGCCTGCGCGCAACACGATTTCTCATAGTACTAAACAAGTTAAACAAGAAATGTCTAACGACTTTATAGCCTTTGATTCACATTTTTCGTAATTTTGTTATAGAAACTTGCCATAAATGGGTACATGGAAGCGTACAGTTATAGAAAAACAAAAACACATAAAAAATGACCTACTAGTTATAACCAATCAATATGTGAAGCATAAAGAGCTTGGCATTTAAACTAGTGAGCCCATTATGACTAATAAATATGTAAAATATCAAGACTTTATGATAAAATGTGTTCAAGGTAATAAGCATAAACCATATTTACATTATAGGCTCCTTTGACCTTGACCTTTGACTTGTGATTCCAAAATAAATATGGGTCACCTACTACATATGGCTATTCAATGTATATAATATAAAGACTTTGTGACAAGTTTTCATGAAAATGTGACCTTGACCTTTGACATAGTGATCCCGAAAACAAAAGGGGTTATCTACTTGTAATGATCAATCGCTATTTTAAATTTCAGCGGAAATCATTCTGACAATTAAGGCATGTGTGAACTTGAATTGTAACCTTGTTACGCCAAAATCAATAGGGGTCATCTAATTGTCATCTAATAACCAATCATGAGATATATAAAGACTTTATGATAAATACTTTTCGAGATAGTAAGCGGAAACCGTTCTGACAAATAAGGCCCCAATGACTTTGATCTTTTGGGCTAGTGACCCCGCTAGGGTTCATCTACTAGTTATGACCTATCACCATGTGAACTATGAAAACTATGTGATAAATAGCTTTCAATGTAATGAGCGGAAACCATACTAACATTCAAGGCCCCTTTGACCTTTACCTTTGACTTAGTGACCCCAAATTAATAGGGGTCACTTACTAGTTATGACCAAGCAGTATGTGAAATATGAAAACTTTGTGATAAATTGTTTTAAGAAAATAAGCGGAAATATGTCTGACATTTAAGGCCCTGAGACTTTGACCTTTGAACGAGTGACCCCAAAATCAATAGAAGCCATCTACTATGACCAATCAATATGTGAAATATGAATCTGTGTGATAACTAGCTTTTAAGATAATGAGGGGAAACCATTCTGATATTTAAGGCAATTTGGACCTTGACCTTTGGCCAAGTGACCCGAAAATCACAAAGGGGTAATCTGCTGGTTATGACCAATTACTATGTGAAATATGAAGACTTTTTTTATGAAAAAAATTCAAAATAATCAGCGGAAATCATTCTGGCATTTAAGGCCCCTGTGACCCTTACCTTTAACCTAATGACACCAAAATCAAAAGGGTTATATACTAGTCGTGACCAATCACTGTTTAAAATATGAAAACTTTGTGATGAATGTTTTTTAAGATAATCATCGGAAACCATTCTGACATTTAAAGCTCCTGTGACCTTGACCCTTGACCTAGTGACTCCAAAATCAATAGGATCCATCTACTAGTTATAGCCAATCAATATGTGAAATATGAAGACTTTATGATAAATAGTATTTAAGATAAACAGAGGAAAGCATGTGGTCTACCAACCAACAGACTGACTTACCGACCTACAGACCGATATAAGCCCTCTTCTTCAAAGAGGTGCATACGAATTATTATGCGACCGTTTTGCAGGCTTGATTTTGTTTTATTCAAGGAGTTCATTGAATTAACACGAATTTATCGAATAAAGAATGGTTTGCAGTTAGAGAAAAATAATTTTTATTTCGACTTTTTATAAAAAAAAAAGAAAGCCATTGCTAAAGTTATGTTGTCGGTGATGTTGCGGGTACCGCCCTGAGCCCTGAAAAATAAACGTTGATCATAACATGTGTTTTATTTTTCAATGAATTGCCTTCTATCTGATTAGGAAACAACAACCTTTCAGACAAGATCTTTAAGTTGACAAGACTGAACTTGACCGTCACTCATAAATGACATACATTCAAAATCAAATCTTTTGCTTGTATTTTCAAACCTGACCACAATAATTCTTCAGACCAGACTTGTATGCAGGCAAAATCTAGTATGACCTTCGAGCATCAATGAGCACGGCCGTGAATGTAAAAGCATTGACTTTTGCTATTTTTTGGTTGTAAATATGTTATTTATGAATTGATTGTCTTCACACTAATGCACAAAAATTCTCAGAAGGAAATCGTTCGACAAAAACCAATTAATTTTGATCTTTACTCATCAATGGCCTTGAACTTGAAGATTTTTATTAAAATTATTGAATTTTGCTTGCTTTTAATTGGTTATAACTTTATTTATTTATGAATGGAATGTGTTTATACTTAAACGCATCTATCGTTAGAACAATATCTTAAAACTTGACCTTGACTTTTAAAAGACCTTGACATCATATAAATGTTATTTCACATGCTATTATTTTGCTATAATTGGGTATGACATTGCAAGCAATAAACTTGATAAATGGATTGTCTTCGTAGTTGAGTACAATGTATGGAACCAGAAATAAAAGGAGACTTAATTTAACTTGACCTTGACTTGAATTTAACATAGTCAGTAAAGGTCAAATTATTGTTATATTGTAATAACTTTGCTATTTATTTACAGATTTAATTTATTCTTGAAAAATGAACCCATCGGACAAAACATGCATTATTGAAATATACGTTTATTGTCATAACTTTGTTATTTATTGACAAATTTGGTTTGTTCTTCAACAAAAGAACCCATCTCACTTTATGAATTGTTTTAAAATGACCTAAAACCTTAAACTGACCATGGCATTCACGGTTAAATTAATTAAAGTTATCATTCCTGTTTTATTCATTTACAGATTTTAGTAAAACTTGGACAAAACTGATATAATGAATTATTCTGATATGACCATGAACCTTAAAGGTCAAATTATTTAAATTTACAAACCTTGCTATAATTTTGATATTTATTCATGAAATTCGTTTATTCTTGGACAAAAGACCACTTATTACAAAACTGGCAATGATGATTAATTGTGACCTTGACCGTCAAGACAGTATATTTTTATTGCAATATAATGTATTTAATGTGTTGATCCTAATAGAAATAGGTGCAGATAAATACTATGCGACCATTTTTGATATATGTCATTGCCTAGTAGACCTCTATTAAAGTTTTATTAACCATACACTTAGGGTCAACTGCTTCCACCTTGGAGGTCATACAGTATCGTTAGTATAATTAAGACAAAATATGTTTCAGACAATTTACTTAATTGCGTGTCTACCTTAATTTGAAGATTATTTTCATTACAGAAATAAATTTACATCCGGGCGTATTTAGCCCATTCTTGTTATTGTATTCGTACCAATTCTTAAAAATTTTATAACCAAGGGAACTATATCATTCACTAAATTCATACCAATAAAGTACAAGAGACAGAGCTATTCCCTTTGTTGAAAATTTTTACAACATATACATAAACATAGTGTTTGTTTTGTGGCTTATAGATGAACTTAATTTTTGACATCCGCTCTTTGTAAAATGTTGGTTCAATCAACTGTCATGGTTCAATTAACTGTCAGGATTGATAATGATAAACCTCTATATAAACTGCCAGACACATTTAAAATGTGATAACAAACAGAAAGCACGTGTTGTGACGTAGGAATCGTTAAATTGATTTTGGTACCTTAATTCGCAATTTAAACCAAAATTCTTCCCGTTCGGTTTGCGTAAGCCTAATTTGTATGGTGATAATAAAATGAATATTTTATTCAATTAATTGAAATGCTGATATGACTTATATTTATTTGGGAAAAAAAATTGATTGCGTATTTATGCAAATACGCATCTTGTCTGAAGCACTGTCAGACATATCCAAATGTGACCCAATTATCTACTTGTGTATTGATGAATGATGCCCTTTTCTAACAATGAATCTGAGGTGGGAGATCTAGTGCCAACAAAACCCCTTTGTGATAGTGACCATGTCTTCGTTCTTACTTTAATGTCACGGGCAATTTACTCGGCCAAGCTTTCTGGGTGTTCAGTCGTAGTTTAAATTGGTTTTCATTGGATTCTACAAATGAAGTTACAAATATTCCTTTTTTTCTAGATAGCGTGATGGCGCACGAGATACATTTAAAGAACAGCAAATACCGACAGTGGGTCAAGGCAGGCCTAGGCTTAGGTTATCTGAAAGAAGGACTAGCACCATTTTGTGATGACATAGGAAAACAGCAGCACAAAGATATTATAAACCAAATTCAAGGAACAAAGACCCCTAAACCAATTGTACCATGTGGCGTCTGTCAGATAACAACTCTCCAGCCAGACCACGTTCGAGTCTCAAAAGTAATATGTCCACTCAAGCAAGATAAATGTAACTGCTGCTTTCCAAATAATAAGAAACCCTGTCCAAACAACATATGTGGTGCCATCTATGATAGCATTATACAGAATCATGCATCAATACCACCGGCACCTTTTTGGAGAAACAGCGATGCCCATGATTGGTCAATTGACCCATGGAGCATATGTAAATGTTTTATAAATGCTCCTGGGTACAAGGACAAGACATCAGCAGCCGACGTGGACTGCTCGGCGTTACTACATGTTATCATAAATAACAAATATTTTCATAATCATATTGGATGCAATGTAACAGGACCAAACAATCTTTTTGCAAAGGTTTATCTGTTTATTTACTCTTTGTTTAATTTTAATTTTGTGAAATCATTAAACGAATTAAATTGATACTGCACTAACGTGACGATCTTTCATTTTGATGCTGAATATTGATTAAATCTTACAGTAAAGCTCAATACTTTTATTGAATTTAAAATAGACGTAACTCATTACGGCACTAAGTTGGCGCTATGTCCATATAAATATGAGGCCAATTTTGCGAGATTACCAAATTTGAACGAATCCCATGTTCAATAAAAAATTAAAAACTTGCTTGTGCAAAACATTTTAAATTGTTGAATTGGGGTTGTAAATGTTTAAAAGTAAACCTTAAATTTCCCTTTAAATTCCTAAAACCGTTGCCAGTTTTTGGAAAGGGTTTTATATTCGAAATCCCGGGTCACTTTTGAGGTGGGTATTTTTGGGCCAAAATTTCCCTTGCCCGTGAGGGGCATGAGTGTTTGGTTTTCCCTTTGGGAAATCAAAAATAGCTGAAAAAAATTTTTTTTGAGCTAAAAGTCGCCAAACTTTACAAAAATGTTGTTTCAGAAAGGGAACTTTGCCCCGGGGATATAAATGATATAAAATTAAAATTTTAAAAAGTATTCTTTCCCTGGGGTTCTTATATTGTAACTCAAAGGTTTTTTAAACCCGAAGTTTTAAACGGAAAGGGTCGAGAAGATGAAAATCGGGTGTCTCGCTTAACATTTTTTTAATCCCTTAAAATTTAAGATTTTTTAAAAGTATCATTGCTGAACACAGTATAATTGTGTGTGTAGTTTTGTTTTCCATTCAATAGGTAAGGCAGTATAGAAATGCGATTTTTCACTCAAGCTGCATGGAATTAGACGAAACGGAGGCAAATTCCTACATTGATGATATGATATCAATTCTACAAGATGGAAAGGACCTTGTACACCATCTGGCTGCTCAACGAGCTGTCAGGAAACTACAAGATGTAAGTGTAAATAATGAATAACATATATAAGTTTGAAATTGTGTTTTGTTAGGATTAGAAATAGCACATGTTTTAATTCAAGACCTATTTAGGGTAATTGACAAAGTGTTTAAAAGGGTTTTATTATAGTCAAATTTAAATGACAATTGCCTTTAAAAAATGTATTATTATTATTATCATTATTATTATTATAGAAACGGTAAACCGTCTATATGGCAAATACGCCGAAAATAATAGGGACGGTATATGCCGTCCAAATGGCAGTGAAAGGGTATAATTGATGAAATTAAATATACATGCTCAAAAAAAGTTAATGTACACAAAAACAACCGTATCTTACGTTGTTATAAGTAAGATAAAAAGTGCAGTAAGAAATATAGTCTGACTTTGAGATATCTATACAACACATCATGTTATAAAAGTGGATTTCAAAGTCCTCACAAAATAACGAGATATAAATTAGAACAATTGTGGTAATTTTGAAATAAAGTCTGACCTTATATATAAAAATTATGTTTTATAGAAGGGTAAATAACATAAATTAAATGGCTGCAATTTTAACATAATTGTTATTTTCATCAGCTGAAGAAGAAGGATTTCATAATTACTACCGACGGCTTTGAAGAAGTTCTGGGTCAAATCAAAGAAGAAATGACAAAAGTTTCTAAATCAATAGAAAATGCCGCAACTAAAGAGGAATATAACGAGCTTAAAAATAATTTATCTGACCTTGAGACAAAGATGACCCGAGAAAAAGAAGTACAACTTTGTTTCTATTATTTATAAATTTGTTGCCGATTGATATACCAGTACGTTAACATACAAACATGTATTATTAGCTTACACACAATAAGGTTAGCAAGCTTTGTTTTCGTGATGTCCGTTGCATCAATATTCTTGTTTAACCTAAGTACAACTTGCGATGCGATGGTCATCTGTCTGCAATGCATCATGAATAATTTCTTGAAGCATCGGCTTATAAACTGATGTTGTATTTTGGCCTAATATAATGATCAATAGATGGTCACTTATCAATATTATATCAACATGAACATAGTTTAAAGGGGTATATAGGAGTTAGCTTGTCGGCCGGTAGGTTGGTCGGTCCGTTGGTCCACTTTATGTTTTCCACTCGAAAACTCAAGGCCACTGAACAATTGAGAAAAGAATTCTCCCGACAAAAATAGAGATAAGAATAATAGCATAGTGTAATCAAACAAACCTTGGTATGTAGCAAGCTTATCTTCAGTTAAGATTCATGGTCACTGTAAATAACATTAGAGAAACGGCTACTAGACAATAACTAGCGTTACTAATGAGTTATTGTAATCAAACTTTGTATATAGCAAGCTTATATGAAGTAAACGGTTGGGATTGCCTTTGAACCCCATGGAACGAAGATCAAGCCCATTGTTACTGCAAAAAGAAAATGTATTCCGGATGATAACTTCAGCCAGGAATAAAATATTGTTATCACATTTGGTATATCGCAAGCTTAACGGTGACCTTGATTTAGAGAGCTTTTTGACCTTCTCCGGTCAAGGTCATTGTAACTGCTACTTAGAATAGATAAGTGATTTCCGAACAATTACAATTGATAAAAATGATATATTGTAATAAATCTTTACACCTAGCAAGCTTGTGAAAAGACTGAGCATGGCATTGCTGTTGGACCCAGTAGATTTGATGTCAAGGTCACTGTTTCTAAAAATGAAGAAACTGTTTCTGGAATGACATTTATTTGTTATAATTTTTTGAACACAGATAAAACAAAATAAAATATAAATCGAGTTCAAATTATGTTTCAAAAGTCTTTTTTCACTTAAAAAATGTTAAGTTGGTTGGCAGGGGTATCAGTCACCTTAAGTGATACCTCATTTTGTACAGGATTGTTTGATAAGTAGGTCTAAAAGCTACCAAATGATACTAAAAATATATTTTAAAATGAATTAGGTATATATCTTTGGTATGTATTATGTAACATCAACTAGAGGTCTTCTACTAATGATTTTAAAATGATGTCTCTGATGTTAATATTGTCATTGTTTAAATGTCATGGAATTTCCTCAAAATATTTTTAGCAAACATTTAGAATATATTCTCTGAAACTCTTAACGGCTAGAGGATAGAAATGTGACACCGAATTCTACCAACTTGAAGATAGTTCAAATTATGGCCCTTGGTTTAAGATTGACCGTCGTGGTTGGCCATGTGTTTTCTATTTATGAACAGTATACATGTTTAGTAAAATTTGCCTATTGAATTAGTTACGGTCGTTGTATTCAAACAAACAACTTGCCCAGTTGCTATGAGATCGAATCCCATCAAGGACTTTGTATTTTATCCCGAGGGGACCTCTACAACAACACGTTAAGGAACATCAGTGATTTCACACAAGTGCCCGCATTTGTCTGTAATGATAGACGGATTTGCACTTGAAGTTTTCCTCCACCAGTAAAACTTGAAAGTCACACATGAAATCTGCAGTGTTAGTTTTTATTATTTATTTATTTATTATCCTCTATAATATATGAAGATTTGAACGACAATTACACAACCAGTTTTTAAATAACTACAGACAGAACAAGTATACAAATGTGATATATACATTACAAGACAGAATATAGATAAACAAATGCAAGTAATCTATAAAATGTATACATTGGACAGCACATAAAACAAAATCATATAATTGAATTTTTCTGAACAAAAATAGCGCTTAGAAATTTGACAAGACACATAGTCTAGTAGACCCCTGCCAGCCAAGTGGGAGCGAGAGGGTGATAAAAGTATGAAAATAATCTAAAGTATTTTTCGCTGTAACAATCATTGCTTCTCAAGTTTGTAAATACATCTATATATGAAATAAAAATTAGGTATTTTGATAAAAGGTGGCGTTGTTCTTCAATTTGACATTGACCGTATTGCGACTTTCACAGTCGTATAAGTATGCCACCGCGGCATCTGCTATGAGGGGACATATAGCAATTCACCTGTTTGTGTTTGCGTGCGTGTGTGTACTTGTGTGAGTTTGTGCGTGTGTGCATGTGTTATAGATTATATAGTGAACTTAAAAATCTTCTTGTGAAAAACCACTTGTCCAATGTCAACCTCTGCGAATGTTGTTCAAATTATAGCATGGGGTCAAAAAGACCCCGCCCTGGGGGAATTGATTTTCATTTTGTACATAAAGAAAAAAAATCTTTTAAAAATCCTAGGCTTTTTGCTTTGATATTTGGTATATGATATCATCTCTAAGGCTAGAGATTAGATATTTGGCTTGTAACATTGTGACCAAACATGTTTCAAATTATAGTCATGGGGTCGATATTGGCCCCGCCCCGAGGGTAATTGACTTTGACTTTGTACATAATTATAACAAAATAATTAAAACTATTCTTGTGTGAGGATTCAAAGCTTAGAGCTTTGATATTTGGTACATAATATCATTTTTTTATGTCGTCTACGAAATTTGTTCAAATAGGGTTTCCTTATGTATATAAAGTAAAACCATAAAAATCCTCTTCTCGGAATTGACAAAGGCTAGATGTAAGATATTTTGCAAGAAACATTGTGTAACAGACCTCTACCAAGATTGTTCAAATTTTAGCCCGTGGGTCAAAAATGACCCAGCCCCGGGGTCATTAATTTTCATTATGTACATACAGTAAATATTCATGTTTGAAGACAAACAACTTATATTGGAATGTCTTTATACTTGTTTTGCATTTTTTCTGTTAAGGGATTCAATAGCATGGAGTAAGTCTAAAGTTTATGACCTCTAGCAAGAAAAACGCTGGCTTTTGAAATAATTAGAGGTCATGAAATCTAGCAAGAGAGTTGTGAGCTTTATAGGGATATCTAATGAAACAATTTGAGCACATTATAAGGACATTATGATTCACAACATGTATAAAAAGACGATAATGTTTTTAGTTCACCTGAAACAAAGTGACAGGGTGGGCTTTTGTGATCGCTTTTAGTCGTCGTCTGTCTGTCTGTCGTCTGTCCGTAAACTTTTACTTAAAACGACATCTCCTAATAAACCGCTGAGCCAATTTCATCCAGACTTAACAGGAATGTTCCTTTGGTAGTCAACTTAAAAAATATTTCAAATAATTTAATTCCATGCAGAACTCTGAATGCCGTGGCAACCGAAAGAAAAAAACTTAAACGAAAAAAACGAAAAGGTTAGAGCTTATATATTTGGCATGAAACATCGTATAGTCAGTGTCTACCCTTGGGTCAAAATTGGCCCCGCCCCGGGGGATCATTGATTTTCGGTATTTGTATATAGTAAAAACCTTAAAAAATCTTCTTTAAAAACCAAAATAGCTAGAGCTAAGATATAAATCATGAAACGTCTTCTAGTGGGTGTCAACCAAGTTTGTTCAAATAAAAGCCCTGGGATCAAAATTGGCTCCGCGCCAGGGGGTCATTGTGTTTTCCTTTATGTATATAGTTAAATCTTAAAGTCTTCTTTTGAAAAACCCAAAGGGATTGAGCTAAGATATTTAGAATGAAACATCTTCTAATGGGTGTCTACCAAGTTTGTTCAATTAAGGGCCCTGGGATTAAACTTAGCCACGCCCCGGGATCATTGATATCCCTTATATGTGTATAGTGAAAAATCTTCTTTAAAATCCCACAAGAGCTAAAGTTAAGATTCTAAGCATGAAATATATTATGTTAGTGTTTATCAGGTTTGTTCAATTAAAAGCTCCGGGGTCAAAATTGGCCCAGCCCAGGGGTCGTACTTTTCCCCTATATGTGTACAGTAAAATCTTAAAAATCTTCTTTAAAAAAAACCTAAAGCGCTAGAGCTAAGATATTGATAGTTCTCATAGAACATCTTCTAATTGGTGTCTACCAAGCTTGTTCAAATAAAAGCCCTTGTGTAAAAAATAGCCCCGCCCTGGGGGGCCTATATACAGGTGATCGATTTCAGAGCCATCATGGCCCTCTTGTTAGAAATTGATAATGCTAAATTGAAATGATAGTATTTAAGAAAAGTAACTGTACCATAATTCAAAGTTTAATACAGTAAATCCCTATTTGTTCTATAGAACATTCCTTTATTTTTGAATTAATGATTGCACTATGACATTTGCATTAACATTAGACACATCTGCACATTGTCTTTTATTTGACATGCTGAAATATGACATTGACCCTAAAATTCACAAGACACTACTGCATTACGGAAAAGTTCAATTATATAGTAACAAAAAAAACTTCTTCTGTTTTATAAAATACATGTAGGTGGAATATCATTTTTTTCACAAATGCATTCTTGTTTTATTTTGCTGAAATTACAATAAAGTTTTTAATTAATGATAATGAACAGATTTGATTTTCATTCTTGAACAAAACAGCACTTGAGACATCACGAACTTGATTGAAAATTTTAGTATAACTTTGATCCGTAATTTACAGTTATTTTCAACAACTTGTCGGCATTGACCATGTGATAAAATTATAACAGTCAAATGAAATCTTCAAGACATTTAAATAAATTTCTTTGTGCAAAATTACAAAATTATGTGCAATTGCACCAGAAATGTCGGAACATTTTCTTCAGGAATAAATTATTTGTCCATAGCAATAAAGTTGAATTTCTATAAAAGAAATTATTATTAATAAACTGTCTCAAAACTACATCAGTAATAAGTCAATTTAATGTTTTTGAGATTTATTTGAACATTGTGTGTTACACAGAATTTTAAATACCGATATACCTTTATACAAAGCATATTTTTGAAAATTACCGAATAAAATATAATATTTGTATCATTATTTACGTTGTAGGAGAAACAAAGACTCAATGACGAAGATTCTTCTAAACAAAGAGAACTAGAATGTGAAAAAGCTAGTTCAGGTATGCTTTTATCTCATCGCCTAAGGCAAAGCGGATATTAGAAATGGTCTCCGTCCGTGTGTGCTTTGTAACACCGCAAAACGTCCATACCGCAAAATGTACACGTGTGGACGTTTTGCGTCGCATATCGTACACATGTGGACGTGTTGCGGTGCAAATCGTACTTGGTACGTTTTGCAGCGAGAGTGTGTCTTTGCGTCGCATATCGTCCATACTTTGACTTTTTTATTTAAAACAAAAAGAAATATGCTTAAGCCGAGGTTGTTGTTCGAGTTTTTTTTTTTGGAATGGAACCAAGCAGCAGCAGCAGCAGAGATATTAAAACGATGGTATTGAAATCAATGTAATCTTATAGACATACAGAAAAGGACGGCTTTACGGACGGTAGAACCTGGGATTGGACTGAGTGAATGACAAAAAATATTAAAATTATGCTTTGCTTTTCACAAAAGCTTTTCATATTGCATCAAGAAGTGGGAATGATTTTTTGTGTTCTTGTAATGACTATTGAAGTTTGGTTCTACCGTTTATTTTTACGGGGGATGGATGGGCTAGACCAATCCTAAGAATGAAAAACAAATATCTAACAAGGCCACATCGCTTTGAAATAGTGATTTACAAAGACAATAAGAAAATATCACTGTTTTTTAAAAAAATAAAATGATCAAATATGTGATCGACACATACAATCTTATTTGACCTGCATATAAACTATTTTGAATCAGTTTTTTTAAAGTGTTTTTTTCACTAGCATTTAATGAAATAATTAGTATGTCAACTGTTTATTAGGTTTGACAATTTGATTATCAACATTCCGAAGAAATAGATCAGACTGCAGAGACATTAACTTTAAAGTCCCAAAACTGTCACTTACCCCACCTTCCTGCCCCCACCCTTCCCCGGAATTTGTGAAAATATGTTCTTTCCCAAACTATGGTGCCTCAGATATACAGTTGTTATGTGCATAATACGGATACTTGTTGCCATTTTGAAGTTATACATTTACATTATCAAATATATTTCGTATGTTTTGATTACAATAATTAATGAAGAAGGAAAATGTTTATTTTCAAGCGAATAATGTATTAAATATAACGATGGAAAAAAAATCGTTTTTTATATGAATTTATGCAATTGTTAAAACAGATTTTAGCTACAGTTATGCATTGTTAAAGTTAAACACAGCATCTGAATAAAGTATTACATATAAATCTACTACTTATTCGCCGTTTGCATTATCGGATCAAAACCATGCAAAATTTAAGTTATTAAATAGAGAAAAACAGAATCCCTAAAGAAAGTTCAACGCAACAAAATTGAAAATGTTGCAGGCTCGGTTTGATTGAGCCTGTTCATGGACGGTACTGGAAAGTGCAAGTAAGCTTAAGCAGAATTCAACATTTAACACGTAAATGGTGAAATTTTGAATTTAGAATTATCCGCAGATGTTTTCATATGGCGGTTATCAGGAACCTTCAATGTGACACAGTAGTGCCATTCCATGAAAAGGGGCGTATGGTCCCATATTAAAAGAATGCTTTTGCCCTAAACGAGAAAACAATGGGCGGAACTAAATAAAATGGAATTTTGAAAGGGGATCTGAGGTTATGAAGGTTAAGACGTCAAAAGAAAATTTTAAAAAGCAAGCATCATATCACCTCAGCATTTTACATCTTATATAGAAAGATTATCGCTGATTTACTTTTTTTTTCTTCTCTCTTTTCAGAACTTCAAGGCGACCTGATTAAATTCTACAGAAAAAGGTGTAGTTCAATACCTCTCTCACCGCTTCTTGAAGAAATAGAGACACCTCTAGCTGGGTTCTACGTGATGCCAGATATAGTCGCCGTAAAACAGAAGTCCTTAACTTGTCATGAAGAAGAGAGAACTCCGATGAAGTCTTTGAAAGACCTGTTTTCAACCGGAAGTGCAGACCAGCAAGAAATTTATCTATCAGCTGATGCAGGCTTTGGAAAAACTGCTTTCTCAAAATATCTTGCAATCACGTGGTGTCAAGCTCATTGTCACGATAAAAACTACGCCTGTTTTAAAGATGATGAGTTAAAAACGTTATTTGACTTTAAGTTCCTATTTTTGGTTTTATTAAGAGACTGTACTTCTGTTTGTAACATTGACGATATGATTGAACAGCAAATTACTAAGAAACTTCCTTCTTCCGCAACAATCAATGAAGTTTTACGTGGGGAAAAATGTTTGATTATATTGGACGGTCTTGATGAATGGGCTCACCCTAATAACAGCTGCAGCGAAGTAACAGAACAAATCCCACATCGGTACGTACGTGACAATTGTGTTATCCTTACGACAACTCGACCGTGGAAGCTCGGAGTTTCAAATCTCAAAACATGTCAAATAAACAAAAAAGTAGAATTGGTTCAATTAAGTGCAGATTCTACGCGGCAACTAGAAGAAAATGCTATAAGGAAAATGACCGGTGTCCATAACGATAGGGTGTTGAAGAGTAAAACACAGGACTTTAATAAAGTGATAAGTGATCGTCGCCTAGAGCACATGCAAGTGATTCCACTCCTCCTCTTGTATATAGTTTGCCTATGGTGTAACAACATTTCCATAGGAAATTCAAAACATGAAATGTACTCCAATATCATTGAATTTCTATTATCGAGAACGTCAAAAAAACACCCGGAAGTCCAACTATCTCGTGAAACCTCTGCCAGTGAAATTTCAGATTACTTCAAAAGTCATGAATTTTGTAAAAAGTTTTACAGTCTTATAATATCATTAGCAGAACTAGCTTACCAAACATTATTTAGCGAAAACAGAGAAAATACGCTGGTATTTGATAGAACGGTTGCTGAAAAATATCTCAGAGCAGACGACATGAAATTAAGTCTTCTCTCAGGAATACTGTCAGAAAGTAGAAGTAAAACTTTAATCAAAGAAATTATCAAATTATCGTTTTCTCACAAAACAGTGCAAGAATTCTTTGCCGCCATATTCATAAGTTCTCAAAGTGACGCTCAGAAAACTGTTCTAGAAAAATGTATAAATGTTCAAGACATTCTGGACATGTCAAAAATTTGTGAATTTACAAGTGGAATGAATGCTGACCGGATGTGTGCAATATCAAGTGATTTAATGTCTGTAATAAATAAAGACGAGAAAACACGCGACTATAGAACTAGGACAGGTCGCGAGGACATGTACAATATTAATGCATTGTATAACATACAGAAAATGTTCACGTCGTGTTTACAAGAAATGCCTCAAAGTGAAAATATTCAATTATGTTTACAAGATTTCTTTATTAACGAAGACACCGTGCACAGTAAGCAGTTACAACGTTTGTTAAAACAAAATAAAACCAACATAAAATCACTTTATATATACATCAGATTCACTTCAAGCAGTTTACGTGAAATTATAGATTTTTTCTCTCTCACAGATCTCAGTTATATCCAGAAACTTTACTATTATGGTGACGAGAAGAAGGAGGCTGAGATAAACCGGTTATTGTTTCCCAGTTTAAAGTACGTATCTTTGTGGAGTGGTAAATGGACAAATGAAGAAGAAGATCTGAGTGAAAACATGGCGCGATGTCAAAACTTACAATATTTATATATTGGCGACTTCACGTTATCTCACAAAATACTGGAAACATTTTTCAATTTTATCTCCGGTCAAAAATCAATGAAAGAGTTAACATTGGACGAGTTAGACTACAAACAAAATAGCGGCCATGATTGTAAGAGATGGAACTTGGACTTGTCTCAACTTTCAATTCTATCAAACTTAGACCTGCGGGGGTTATCTGGGAGGCTACAATTAAATATATCAACACCGTCATTAGTTAATGTTAGGTTGTCGGGCATCAATCTAGATGAAAGTTTATTGTTACTGGCACGTGACATGTTGAATATTGAACGTGTGGTGATGGAGTATATAGAAATGACTGCAAGAAGTTTACAGAACTTTATTTCCGTGCTGGAAAATCTGCCGCAGTCAGTTACAGTCAAGATGCTCGCCGTTAAACCGGAAACAGAATATATCCGTGTTAGAGAAAATATGCGGAGATCACAAACTTTTCATGTGATACGAGACGACGGCGGCTGGTGGGGAACATTTGAGTTTAAAACAATAAAACCAAGCAAACAATAGACAAGGAAAAATCATTGTAAAATAAACTAAATAAATTATTTCAATGATTTTAAATAAACAAAACAAGTTAAGGATGGACAATTAGAAACAAAATGGCGGCTCTTCAAACTTTAATTAGGGCATACATGTACTTCCGTTTTAAATTAATAATTTAAGTGACAATTGTTTATAAATAAAATATGATAAACAAGATCAACAAGGAAAGGCGGCGCTCAATGAACGCAACCCCCATATGACCAAGCAACAAGAACCCAATGGCAAGGAGCCCAGGCGGACCCCAAACATAAAAAGGACAGGGCAAAGACACGTTAATCATTAAATGATAAATAATTTGTAACTGATTAGGAATTCAAAGAAAATAATAATAATCCCACAAAGTGGAAGGGGACAGGAGACCGGGGGAAGGGGGGGGGGGAGTTAATCAAAGAAATAAAAATTAGAGGCAATGGGGAAGATACTTACCGTAGACGAGAAAACAACAAGGGACACAAGCAAAAGTGTCACCAAAACAGTATGAAACAACATAGACATACATCTGAAGAACACAGTGGGGCGCCGCCTTGGAACGGTCAGCAGCATAATAATGACTGCTGGTGAGTTTAAACCGGTTAATGGTGCACCAAACCTCGCTCTTAGCCCCACCATGTTCCTATAAACGAGACAGTGTAAATAAAATGAATCCCCGCCAAGTGAAATTCTAACAGTTGTCATGGTTACAAAAGTTTAAATAAGTAAAACACTAAAATGATCATGTAGAAACATATAAAAGTAAACCCAATGACCATAATAAAAGTACTCAATGTCCTAAAGGAAGACAGAGCAACAAGAAAATCACCTACAAGGGCCCGACGAAGCAAGGCAGAAGACGAACATTAAGACAATTCAGTCCCAAATGGCTTTACGAACTATCCATCATAGAGTCTCCCACTTGGTCCGTCAGATGCAATCAAAAGAGGAAAGCGTAGTGTCCAACTGTAAAAGGGTTGAACACTAAACATGCAGTATGTCTTAAAATAGTAGGGTCATAACCTCTTTTAATAAAACGTTTAATGATTTTAGTAAAAACAGCAGAAAAATTACCATGACCCAAAATCTTACGAAGTTTGTAAATCACATCGCCATAAAAACCAGGCTGGCTAATCCCTTGTCGCAGAAGGGTTTTTAAATCACTATTGAATTTAGAAATTAAATCAAAGTTACGATTGTAAAATTTTGTAAAATATTTCCGTAATTTATGATAGCGGTAGCCCTGTTTTAGAAGCTTGCTGGTAATAAAAATATTCCGCTCGTTGAAATCCTTTACGTTGCTACAAGCTCTAGCGAATCTAATTAACTGAGAAACATAAACCCCGTAAGATGTTGCATGGGGTACGTCTCCATCTAAATGTGGATGATTAACTATACAAAAGTCAAAGTCATCTCTTTTATCATAAATTTTCGTGTGAATAGAATTGTTGTTGATAGTAATATGAAGATCCAAAAATGATGTACTAAAATTTCAAGAGTTCGTTTTATTAAGTTGAAGTTCATGCGGATAAAATGTCAGACACCATTTGATCAAAATAAAGATTATCTAAATTAAAAAATATCATCAAGGTATCTGGAAGTATTATTAAATGCGACTATAACATCTTGTTGTTTCTCTTCAGAGAGACTCAACATAAAGTCTCTTTCATAGCAGTACAAAAACAAATCGGCGACCAGGGGTGCACAATTAGTACCCATAGGAATTCCTACGATCTGTTTAAATAGGGTATTACCAAACCTGACATAAATGTTGTCTAAAAGAAAAGAGAGTGCTCTACAAACTTCGTCACAGGTCCACATAGTATAATGTTTAACAATACCGTTAGTAAAAAAAAGCTTTGTTAGAATTACATGCTAGAAAGGTAACTTTTTCCCGTGCAAAAGTTTTCTGAATTAGGGAAATTAGTTTATCATTGATTAATTTATGTGGCAAAGTTGTATAAAGTGTAGAAAAATCGTATGTACTGACAGTTGAAGCTTGAAAGTTATTAATTTTGAATTTATCCAAGATTTCACCAGAATTTTTAATTGACCTTAAGAGATGTTTGCCTGTGTTTTCATAGACTTTATCACAATATCTAATTACATGTGTTTTAATGGCAGTCAAACAAGACGTCAATAAAATAGAAAGTTTACTTGTAGTGCAAGATGTAGAATTAGCAATAAATCTGGCTTAGTAAGGTTTTTTATGTAATTTAGGAATCCAATACATAATAGGAAGTTTGAGTTCTTTTTCATTTATTTGGACTTTAAGATTAGAAATATTAGTAAAATGATTGTTTACAATGTCTTTTTCGGAGGCAGAGGTTTTAGAATACGCATTAGTGCTATTTAGTTCCTTATGCAAAACGTTAATGTAATGGATTCGTCAAACAATTATAATATTATTAGACGCCTTGTCCGCTGGCACCACAACAAATTTTGAATGAAAAGCTAGAATATCTTTTTTCAGATGTCTTAAAGTAAGTCTTGGTTTAGGTGGCAAAAGATGTTCATTTCCACGATAAAAATTAATACGTGAATCAATTATTTTAAATAAAACCGTAATTAATAGAAATAATTCAAGGAATGTTTTACGGAATTTAATGGATATAAAAGTTGGCTTAGGATATGGAAATATTTCACAAGTAAGTGACTTTATATTGAATGTGTGTGTGTTTTTTTCAATACATGCATATTTAAGAACTGAAATATATTATTAACAGTGAACAATACTCATATATCAACTTTTACTTGAAAATGTATTTTATATACATACAAATCAACTAATTAATATTTTTACCATGATTTTTTTTTTTTCCCGAAAAAGTTTTTTAATAAAAAATAAATTTATTTTTAAAAAAAGGCTTTAAATTAAAAAGGGCAACACAAATTTTTAAATTAACCCCCCTTTTACTCCTTTTAAAATTTTTTTAAATTTTTAAAAATTAAAATTGTTTTTCTTTTCTTATTTTTGGAAATATTGTTCTCGTTAGATTTTTATCTTTACATTAATTGCCGGACTCTTTAAATTATTAGTTAAGTGACTGTGTCTCTTTTAATAACATTAGATGCTGACCTGTCAAACAGTTTCCTTTTAACCATAAAATAGAGTTTAATTTTTGGGATTTTTTTGGCATAAAACTTTTGTGCAGTGAACGTTTACCAATTTTTATCCCAGGCAGTTTAAAACTTGGCGTTTTTAAATTGTGGGGGTAGGGGGGATGGGTTTTTTAGCTTTTCCGTATTTTGTATTTTATTTAAAAAAAAAAAAATTTCCGGGGTTTCTCAAAAAAGTGTAAAGTCAAAAGCTAAACTTTTTCACTTTGGAATATCGCCCAGAAAAAACTCTTAGTGTGGTTTATTTTAAAAAATTTATAGCCCTAGGTCAAAACTGACTAAAACCTAGGGGCCCGGGGGGCCTTATTGTTTTTTTTAAATTTTAAAAGTCATTTTTTAAAATAAATTTCAAGAATAAAGCAAGGATTTTGCATTTATATATTTCTAGTTTACCTCTACAAAGTATGTTTAAATTATAGTTCTGGGGTCAATGTTTGCCCAACATGTTTGATAAACTTCCCTTATACAATGAAGGTTCAATCTTAAATATTTGTCAAGAATCATACTCAAAATAAATCAAGTTTGTTACATTATAGCTGTTGGATTAAAAGGGGGGTCATGGATTTTTAAACAGATCATTTCAATTCACAAGGGCCTAAAGCTTATGTGTTTTGCTATTAAACATTGTGTAGTGTTCCTCAAACAAGTTTATACAAATTATAGTTTGGGGGTAAAATTTCCCTGGTTTGCCTGGAGGGTGTAGGTTGTCTTAATATGTATGTAGTCAAGCCAAAATTGATACCTTATTCTCTAATCATGTATGTAGTCTAGCCAAAATTGATACCTTATTCTCTAAAATCATAAGGATAAAGCTTAGATATTTAATTTGCATGAAATATTGTTTTGTGGACCACTATTAAGTTTGTTCAAATTGTTGTCCTGGAGGTCTCAATTGAACCAGCAGAAAGTGGTCTTAAATTTTTTTATTTTACATACGCGTATGCATTTTTATACATGTTGTTAAGACTAAAATAATCAACTTCTAATAAATCCCATCGAGACTTAAGCTTTTGAACTATTGGCATGAAAACTATTGTCTTTGTGAATTCTAGCAAGTTCAAATTATAGAATCCAGGTCGATATTGGCCCCAATCTAAGGGTCATGGATTTTCCTTAAATGTTTATAAATGAACCTTTCCAAACGACCATTGCTATTTTAATACTTTAGCAACCCTTAAAGTGGCTCCACTGAGGACTTTTGTCATGATGGGACTGAAAATATTTTTTCCAGATAAATTTACTATTTGATGTAGGTTAAGACCAATAATCTTTGTGCAAAATTTCAGATCATTGGCGCACTTCGTCTTTCCAGAATGATTATTCAAATTTTGAAAAAATGACTCAAAATGAAAAGTGTTTAAACGCGCTTCACTCAAATAAATCTAAGAAAAACATAAAAATTACGATTTTCAATTTATTTCAAAGTATTATTTTTAACTTTTAATCTTTGCATATATTTCTGTTTAAAATGCCCCTTCTGATTTATGTAAGAAATTCAAATTATGTTTTTTATCCTTTTAAACCTCAGTGGAGTCCCTTTAACTTCTATAGCAACTAATGACATACTAACTACCATTTACTTTTCATAGCAACCTCTATTTTTAAATATATTTCAGATGCAAATATGAACTTTGTGATTAATTATCAGCTTAAGATAAGAATTAATATCTATTTTCATTGATAACTTGCACAAATAATTGCTTCATGTCAGTTAGAGTCTTTATAATCAGGTGAGCGACATAAGGGTCATCATGACCCTCTTGTTCACAAACATTTGACTACATTAGAATGAAACATTGTTCTGCAAAGTTTCCCCATTAATAAGATATGCGTTAATCTTGTGTCTTATTTCTCGTTTCAGCGGCCTTAGATCAACAAAGATCTTTGTGATGCAGAATTAGGATTGTGTAGATATAGATAATTTCGAACAACAAAAATAAAATACCATGTTCCTTTGTTGACAAGGTAAGCTTTAAATTATATTTATGATTGACAGATCAATTAAATCCAATAAAGATAGTAAATTAAATATCGAAGACTGCTTCCATGCAAAAGACAATTGCTTCTTTCATCACATTTATAAACGGACGATTTTTAGAGAAATTTTTCGCCGAGTTTTGTAAGCCGAGTTTCAGTACCATCTGAGTTTAATACCTCTTAAGCACAGTTTTGTACTAGTTATCTAAACGAATGGTCTGTGGTTCTACTAGAATATCAGCTTAAGCCAAATAGTTAAATTCACTTAGCTGACAACAGGCAGTGGTTCTACTCAGATGTCAGCTATTATGCCCAGATGGCTTATCCCCCCCACCTTTGCACCCGTGCAGCCCTTTTCCCTTTAATTCCCTTATGGGCCCGTTTTTGTTTATATTATTTCACATTAAATGTCCTACTCCTTTCGCCCTTGTGTCCACTCCAAGTTTTTGTTTGGTGCCTTCTGGGTGTCCTACTTGGGTGTGTTCGGGGGCAGCGTCCTATGAACGTTGCCTTTGCCTTGTTGATCTTTATTCTTGTTATTTCACAGCAGGCCATATGTTTATGTGATGTCATCACAATTGCCTATATGTTTACTCAGTTGGTCGGCTGTACTTGGATATCATCTCGTGCCTCTTACACGGATATCAGCTTATGTCAAGTACTTAAATTCATATGACTGAAAAAGGCAATTGTTCCACTTAGATGTCAGCTCTTGCCTAAATGATTAATTCAGTTGGCTTACAGATCGAAGTTTGTGGTTCTACTCGGATATCTGCTTATGCTTAAAAATTTCAATTCAGCTGGCTTGGGGAAGGTGTAATTTTCAATTCAGTTCCTTCACGGAAGGCCCGAGTTTCTCCTCTGAACTTGTCGTCGCATGCCTATATTATTCAATTAAGTTGATTGACTACTCGGATATCAGCTCATGCCTAAATAATTCAATTCACTTTACTTACAGATGGTCCGTACTTCTACTTATTTACCAGCTAATATGCTTAAATAATCCATTTCAGCTGGCCGGCGGAAGATGTATTATTCAATTCAATTTGCTTACGGAAGGTCTGTGGTTCTACTCATATGTCAGGTCGTGGACATATAATGATCATATAAAGTGCTTTCAATATATGACATATTCATATTTCTATCACTTTATGTCAACTATTTTTACAAATGAAGAAAACTTATGGGCTAGTTGTATTATATATGTTTGACAGTTATATGATTTGATTTCTAAAAAATGTTTACACATGCCATTATAATAAATAAATTACTAAGTTACTAACTATAATTAAAACAACCTGGCCTATGGAAGTTCATGATTTGCATTTACTTTCTTTTACCTTAAATGTGCGTTAATCATAAAATCCATAAAACATAATTATTGTTTTACATAACAAATCCTGTAATCTACACTATTTCACCCTGTTATATTTCAATTTTCTCATTTATTCTTTATTCCTCTTTATACATGTTATACTTATTTTCAGAAAATCAGCTGAGTAAATCTACAGTGACAATGATTATTTATGATGCTTCTACTAGAGTTCAACATGAACACCTGGTTCCTGGCTTTATTGAAACATATCCAAAAGAAAATTGTTTTAAAAAAGTGCATCACAAATACTATCTAAAATATTCTAGTTCCTGAATGAAACGAAAACAGACCAGCAATGTGTAACTTACTTTTGCATCTTAAATTGTACCTAAAATCTGTTCTCTTCAAGAAAAATTTACATCCAAAAAGAAAGGTCTTACCAAGACCACTGTGAAATATGTAAGAGTTCCTTCAGAAAACTTGTTTGTGAATTACATATATACCATTAGAAAACACAAATGAAACTTGTAAAAAACGCTTAAAATTAAAGTGGATTGGTCTAGAATGTACATATATTCCAGATTAAAGTACTTTGTATTGATAAATAAATAAGAGATTGCGCCTTTTGGATACTCTTATGAGATATTACTGAAAACAAAAAAGTTGATTGATTTCTAAAGAGATTTTAGTATGAACACAATATATGATGAGTTATAATATTTTGTTGTAGAAACCCTTTATTATATGCTATATATGTTCATATGTCATTCGGTCATGTATTTTATACACTTTGTAATACCAACATCACTCGTATATACAATTCCTTTCGTGGTTTTAACATATGATACTAAATACTATCAACATATTTATTTATGGCATTGTAAATATTCCATTATAGACCAATTCACTTTAAAGAAAGTATGATTTAAATTGTTTTTATTTAATTAGATAAAATTATATGTGAAAAAGTTGAACCTATATCTACATAATGACTAACATTGAAAAAAAAATAATGTTTAATCTTGTACAAATTAGTTTAGTAATAATAACTTAAGATATAAGTTTTTTGTTGTTGTTGTTGTTTTTTTTTTAAATTTGTATGCTTATGTTACAATAATGAGATATAAGGAAATTTGGAGGTTTCTTATATAATTACAATTATATGGCAAAAATGATATTTGAAAGGTTGATATAACTTTAGAAAAAAAGAGCGAAGGTGTATATACATGTATTGCAATTTGCTATTGGTTTTATCTTAATTAAGATGAACATATATTATTAGTTATAATGATTTAACAAATTATATAACGTAGATTAAATGGTTGTAAGTAAATATAACCAAAGCTTTCTGGGTATCTTAAGACAACGGTTTTTATACATGACCATATGCACTTTCAAAACGTTTTCATAAGGAAAATTGTATAAAACTACAACGATTGTCTTTTTCGTTTAATTATAAAGAATGAAAATAGTATCTTAATCTTCCCATTCTGGAAATTTCATCAGTCATGGCAGTTGCGCGTGCTGTACTATAGCACCTTACAATGACGTAATTTTACCGTAATAAATCACATCCTGTTGTAAGAAAATAGTTACGGTTGTAATGACATAAATTTCCGTTGAACATTGGGAAAAAGAATTTAAAATATAATGGAATATGGTAGAATATCCAAGAAAAAATATCTGACATGCGTTTGTGGTTCGGATGGGAATGTCCGTCCAGAGGGGACCCTTCCATGTGCGGTAGCTTGGCAAGTGTCTTAGTTTGCCCAATGGGCGGGTCTCCTCGGGACAGATATATTCCGATCCGAACCGCAACATAATTATGACATATATTATTAATCTAAAAGATCTTCATAGTACACTTAAATCATTACAAGACAATAGAAATCATTATTAGTGCTGTTCAGATGTGTTTATCAATTATAGGTGCATCTATATAATTGTACATTATTGTATATTATCCATGTTCTAGTTATATTTGATGTTGTTCTGCTTATATATAAACATATGTTTATAGTTATCTATAAGTTCTTACCATTTTTATGTTTGAGTTACTGTGTATCTCATTGTTAAACTGGTATATTTATTATTGACATGTACATTAAACTTCAGAGAAAAGAAAACACAAAATGACATTATAGTACTTATCTCTTAATATGTTATAAAGAAAGTAACATACATTCAGTTAACACGATAAGGGTACATCCAGAAGGATGGGATATTGTCATGTTACTATATGTATGACGTCAACTTTTGCGTCATTGTATAATCAATGTTGTAACAACATATTTTTAATATTGTCAGACTGTCTTTTTAGTATTAGATTATTCTTTGTAATTGTTTAAATTAATGCACACTTTGAAATTTGGTATATTGTATTTAGTTTCAGTCTTCTTATTTCTATTTTACATAGAGCACAACTGCACGCACTTTATATTTGTTACAAGAATAATGCCAAGTAAAATGATCATTACATCCATGTAGGACGTATAACAGCTGCAAACTCTAATGTCATTATTAGATTATCGCTTACTTTTAGATTAAATTTTGATATTATCTAGCTAGCTTACGGAACGTCGCTGGTTCTACTCAGGTGCCCGTTCGTGCCTGAAATAATGCACGAAAGGGCACCTAAAATCTTCCTCCACCAGTAAAGCTGGAACGTCGCCATATGACCTATACTGTGTCGATGTGACGTAAAACCCAAAACAAACAAATCAAAACAAATTCAAACATTTAGAAAGTGTTTTATATAGATCAAACTACAGTAATTTTTTTTAAATATACAAAAAGTTTAACTACTGTAACATTCTTTTAGTGACAGCAATGCAACTTTATTACCATACATTTGCAAACTAGTTATAAATATAAGCTTTTCAAAGATATTATGCTTGTAACGAATTTCGAGTGTTTCATTAAATTGCACCCATATATGCCCTGTGTACTTATTTGCATTCGCCTTAAGCGAAAAATAATATCTTTAAAAGATTTAGAAATAATTAATGTTTTTTTTAAACTTGATTAATACATGTATAAATGACAACTTGCATATCCTGTGTTTTAGTTAACCTGAGTGCATTGTCCTTGTGGTGAATTCTTAGGATCGTCGAAACTTTAAAAATATCGCTACAAAAGTGCAATGACTAGAGATAAGATATTTGTTTTGTAGCATTTTCTAATAAAACTTTACTTTGAAGTTTGTCCAAATCATGCTCTAGGGTTAAATCTGACCCCGCCTTTGGGTTCTATTTTACATAGACTCATGAAGGGAACATCTGTTAAGTTATTCTTCCTTAAAGGTCGTTGCATAGAGCTCAGAGATTTTATATGGGACATTGTCTTAATAAATTGCCAAAATCAATGGATTTCAGTTGAGTGAATTAGGGACAACATCTTATTACTTTTAGATATGTTTTTTTGTTTACATGTATATAGTTTTCATAGAAACGATTATGTATAATGTATTAAGATATGTATTTTTGTATTACGAATGTATTCAATATAGCACTTATTCTCTATTAACCCATTCATATCAGTAATTATACCCTTACACAATGAAGTTGTAAAGAAGGTTTGTACTGGAATCACCTTGGTTTTCCTTCATGCTTTTTATATTTAGTTTTCTTGAATATTCATAGGTAGATAAATCTAATAAAAAGGCTGTGTGTAAAAACCATATTTCTTATAACAGAATTTATAACACATAAAACCCTTTAATGTTCGCAAAGCTTAATTTTTGGTTCCAAGCCATTGAGGTAAATTGCTCCCATGTGCACATTTTAGAGTTATTTCTATTATGTATTTTAAATTTTCATATTTTTACATTTTGCCTAAACACATCTCATACATAATTGGAGGTTACAATCTACTTGAAACGATTTGCCAGATATATCTTATTGGGGTAAATGCAGTGACATAATTTTGTAGGTATTGCCCTTTGTTATAGTTTAGACATATTTTTTGTGTAGAGCATAATTTTTAGTCCATAATTATAATGTTTGAGCATGAAAGTTTAACTTTCTGACAAAACAACAGACAATGTTATTTGTACAAGCTAGGGGAGAGGATGTTATAAAACCTTTTGAAGAATTGAAAATGTAATGATAAAATGTTATTGTGATTTTGTTCTTCAAATAGTGCGGTTAATATTCAATCTGATACTTACAATATATAATTATGTATATTTATGTAGTTTCCATATCTTAATATTGAAATATAAGATAAGACAATTTCTAGAAAATATTATAATTAACATATTACTGTTTCACATGTTATTTAGTAAAATGAGATAGGTAGATGTACATGTACATTTTGTTATATATATTATAATGAGTGTACTATAAGTATTGATTGCAAGTATGATATGTTTACAGACATTTTACTTTTTAAGAATTAATGTTCAATGCTTATATAATGTTATAGTCCATATAATTAATAAAAATGAAATTGTGAAATCAATTGATGTGTGTGTTATTATTTACACAAATGTACGTACATTAGATTCTTAAGTACCTATATGTAAAAACCATAACAAGCTGGATGTTTTATAAAAGGACCAAAATATAGCAATTAAAACAAACAACATGGCAGCATTATGAAAGAACCTAAAAAATAGGGAATAATAGAGGCTGGCCTCATTATAAAAGAAACCTAGATATCAGAACTAAAAATGTTGGTTGCATTATGAAATAACCTAAAAATAACAACTAGAACAAACAACCTTGCTGCATTGTAAAACCAAAACACGCATGCCGCTTTATGAAATGACGTAAATATAACAACAAAAACAAGATGGCCGTACACAAAATACGTTGACAGCATTAAAAAAGTGCCTAGGTATTAAAAGTAAAACATCTTTAACAAGCTGGCCGCATTATGAAAGAGCTCAGAAATAAGAATTAACGTACCAAATTATGAAAGAAACTTGATGAGACCAACACAAAACGCTGGTCGCATTATGAAAGAGCCTAAGTGATTGCCAAATTATGAAAAGACCTTTAAACAAGCAAGCTGCCCGAACTATGAAAGGATCCAAACAAAACAACCACAACGAGCACTAACCTAAATATAGCAACAAGAACAAATACGTTTGCCTCATTATGAAAAAACTTAAGTATAATAAACAAAACGAGCTAGTCTTATTATGGAAATAACTAGATATAAATTCCAAAACATGCAAATGACAGCAAAATTAAAGAACTGTACCTGGCTATTTTTGAATCGAAGAAAAGCTTGAATCTATTTATGCCCTTAAGATTTATTCCTTTTCATTACTGGATGTACATACACGTACTGACGCAAATTGAAAGTACATGTACTAGAATCGAGGGAAAGCTTGAATCTATTGTATGCCCTCAAGATTTATTCCCCTTCATTACTGGATGTATACATACACGTACTGACGCAAATTAAAAGTACTAGAATCGAGGGAATGCTTGAATCTATTATATGCCCCCAAGAAATCATTCCCCTTCATTACTGGAGATATACTTACACGTTCTGACCGCAAAGTGAAAGTAGTTGAAGCGAGGGAAAGCTTGAATCTATGATTTATTCCCCTTCATTACTGGAGATATACATACACGTTCTGACCGCAAAGTGAAAGTAGTTGAAGCGAGGGAAAGCTTGAATCTATTATAATCCCCCAAGATGTATTCCCCTTCATTACTGGAGATATACATACACGTTCTGACCGTAAAGTGGAAGTAGTTGAATCGAGGGAAAGCTTGAATCTGTTCTATACCCTCAAGATGTATTCCCCTTTATTACTGGATATATACATACACGTTCTGACCGCAAAGTGAAAGTAGTTGAATCGAAGAAAAGCTTGAATCTTCTATGCCCTCACGATTTATTCCCCTTTATTACAGGAGATTTATATACACGTCCTATGCACGCAATTTTACCTAATTCGCTTATAACGTGTACTCTCAACATAAAGAACACTTAATCTCGTAATTAGACCATATTTTTATAGAAAACAAGAAAAGGCGATGATATGGCTTGCTTAGTAACATATCTCAGACAAGTTTAATGCCATTTTAGAACACTAAATGACTTAAAAATATTACTTAAATTTGATAATAAGAACATGTTGCTTACTTTCGAAACAATTTTTATAATCGTTTATTGTTTTTTTTCGTTTTTTTTTAATTTTAATAACGCCATTGTATGGCACACGACTCATCTAGCTGGCATCCCTATGCCGTTATTTCTGTCATAGTTAAAACTAACGGAAACACCAGTCTGATATGCAAAACCCGTCTTATGAGTCGTGTGCTATTCAACGGCGTTATTTTACACCGTGTATATCCAGTAACACCAGAATGTTAAAATAACGCACGATTCGTGCAATAAGTAACGCAGAATTGTGCATTAAATGGCGGATTTTTTATTTAACCGGACTGAAAATAGGCAAAGCCGTATACGGCTGAGAAGGCCTTACTCTCTTTCCCTCATCAAGATTATTTCCACGAAATTGTTTACTTTTCAAGATCATTCGTGAAAATGATGGCTGATTTTGGCTTTTTGATGACTCTTATAAGTACAACAATGCATATTTTACATTATAATTCCGATTTTCGGTAGACATATGACATTTTCTAAACTTCTGGTGATATAGAAAATTGAAATGAGCTGATAAAATGTGATTTAAGTCGTTTTTATGAGCAGAGACATGGATATCTATGTCGCTGTTACGAGGTAACGCTGATTTACGTAAATTGTGCCGTAACGCCGGAAAAAGTTTAGCGACGGTGGTATCATAAAACCATTCGTATGGAACCCTTGATATAATAATCGTGGTATCATAGAACCCACAATTTCATTCAACCTGTTATTGCATAGTATGTAGTGGTATCATTGAGCCCGTTGTATCTTTGTACCCATGGTATTATTGAACCCGTTACGTCACAGAGCCCGTCATAATAGTAAAAATCCTTGTATCATTAAACCTACGGTATGATCTTATAGAACCCGCGTTATTGTAGAACTCGCGGTACCATTAAACCTACGGTATGATATCATAGAACCCGTGTTATTGTAGAACTCGCGGTACCATTAAACCTACAGTATGATATCATAGAAGCCGTGTTATTGTAGAACCCATGGTACCATTAAACCTACGGTTTTATACTATAGAAACCGTGTTATTGTAGAACTCGCGGTACCATTAAACCTACGGTTTTATACTATAGAAACCGTGTTATTGTAAAACTCGCGGTACCATTAAACCTAAGGTTTGATATTATAGAACCCGTGTTATAGTAGAACTCGCGGTACCATTAAACCTCGCGGTACCATTAAACCTACGGTATATTATAGAACCCGTGTTATTGTAGAACTCGCGGTACCATTAAACCTATAGTATGATATTATAGAACCCGTGTTATTGTAGAACCCATGGTACCATTAAACATACAGTATAATTTCCTAGAACCCGCGGTGTTATAGAACCCGTAGTATAATAACAATGGAATATACCTCAGAAGTGTATCTAAATAAATGCTTAAGTAAAATGCAGTTCATTTTTAATGTTTGATGTAAATCCAAAATAAAGAAACATTGTAAAGTAAGATAAAGTAACAATCGCCAAATAATAATATGTACCAATATTCCTGCAAATTTCTCAGAATTTTACATATAAAGGCAGCAAGCCTCCATATTCATTCAAATTTTCGTGAAAATTGTTTTTGAAAAGTAAAATATTATCACGTCAACAAAAAATCATAAAATCTTTTTAAAAAAAAAACATACAAAAATAGATCAAACCACAAAAAGCTATAGATGTGTAGTCGCACAGTTGAAGCATGGTGATAAAAACTGCAAAATCAGTTATTAATTGCATATTACATGTAAATTAATTCTTGAATTGTGAATATATTTTTTTTTACTTTTCATGGCATTTTAGTACACTTTTCTCAAGGTTGATTTTCTTAAAATAGTTTTGCCAACCTGGGCACATGCAGCTTTAAACAAATGTAATAAAATAAAGCGTAAATTAAACATCCATAAAATATTATATAGTTTAAAATTTAAAAAATCATGTATTTGTGACATACTTACTTATCTTAACCTTTTAACTGAATATGCCAGTATGTATGCATAAGATATTTGCTCTATAATATTTTCAGAAGAAAACAATTAATGTTTTAAGTTAAGGAGTTTCATTTCAGAATTTTTTGAAGAAGAAAACTAAGATCAAAAATAAATCAAACAAAAATATGTCGTTTTATACATGTTACGAACTCATAATAAGACACCGATTTCCACTGCATTTTATAGACACTTTAATTTTTAAATCATTCTGACTGTATTGCGGTTTTTTATAGACACTGTCATTTTTAACCATTGCTATTTTAGCTTGACTGTGTTGCATTTCATCTGCACTGTGCTGCGGATTTCATAGACACTTTCATTTTTAAATCAGCTGGACTGTGTTCCGGTCGGGTTAGACGTCAATTTGATGTCATATTTAAGAAGAATCAATTTCAGGCCCGCAAAGTTCGCACGTGATGGAACATTTTTCCTTGCAAAAGTGCACGATCTTTCCGTGTCTGGGTTAAATGTAAATATATTTCTAAATATTTCTGCACCGCATTCCCCGTCGATTAAAATGATATTCCCTTCGTTTTAGATACACCTCCAAATCGCCTGCGATTGAAATGTTATATTCTCGCGACCGGTTTGCTAGCGCCATCTTCAGTTAATCTGAAAATGTTTCCATTTGTGCAGACGAAAAATACCCGTTTATCACAAACGGCAGCTCGACTTAGGCAGGAAAAATATATTTATGTCGCTTAAATTGGTTTATTAATGCCCGCGAAAGCCCTGTGAAATTACTGTATGCAGTATGATATATATTTAATTGCGATCTAAATGAAATGGAATTTTGAAAGGGGATCAGAGGTTATGAAGCCTGCGTATCACAGATAAAACGTCAAAAGACAAATTTAAAAAGCAGGCAACAGTTCTGTACACACAGAAGCTACTCAGCCACAATGCCAATATAATGTACACACAGAAGCTGCTCAGTTACAATGCCAATATAATGTACACACAGAAGCTGCTCAGTTACAATGG